GATACTGTAATTTTTAAAATGTATAATTGATATTGTGTAATAGGATGTAAAGGTCTAAAGGAGCAGGGGAAATGGGAAGGGTAGGGGAAAGGAAAGAAGGAAAAAGAAAAAATATGAGAAAAGAAAAAAATGGAAACAAAATCTTTGCAAATAGGGAAGGGTGGAGGGGGTGAAGGGAGGGCAGGGGAAGGGGAAAAAAATAAGAACCAAGATACTCATGTAATGGTACAAGATCCCAATGATGATCGCTTCTCGCCCTTTTGGCTAAGATCAAGTGAAGATCCCAATGATGTGTGTAAATGTATTTTATACCTGAAATGTACCAATAAACTTAATGGGGGGGGGGAGAAAAAAATAGATTAATTCCATTTGGGGTTGCGGGGGAGTTGGTACTGGGAATCAAACTCGGGACCTTGCACTTGCGAGGCAGGTGCTGGAACCACTGAGCTAAATTCCCAGCCCTAGATTAATTCCATTTGGAGTAAAGATTTAATGTTAAAAGTGGAACCATAAAAGCATCAGAAGAAAATATGGGAGAATACATATATGACATTAGGTAAGGAGGAAGTCTCTTCCATAATCCATACAGGAAAAATTACAAGACAGTAAAGCCATAATCATGAAGGAAAATTTAGCAAATTCGACTGTACAAAACTTAAAAATATCTATATGAGAAGACACCAATAAACAAAGACAAAAGGACAATTGCTTGCAATTCATACAACAGTTAATGTTTAATATACTAAAAGATTTTACAGACTGATCATTAAAAAGATAAATAGCTCAGTATAAAAATAGGCAAAGGAAATGAATGGAAAATGTAAATCAGTAAACCTGTGAAAAGGATGCGACCCATTAATAGCAAGAGAATGTGAATTAAAACAACCAAGATGCCATGATTTGCCAAACAGATGGCAGCGTCCAGTGCTGATAAGTATATCAGTAACAAGTATTCTTCATGCATTGTTGAATGGGTTGCTTGGACCTTTTTACAGAGAGAAGTGAAGCAGTAGTCATTTGAAAAGTTAATGTGGATATCACATTTGGTCCCACAATTTCACTCCTAGGATTCTTTCCCATAGAAATAAAAGCACTGGAACATAAAACATATTTGACTAAGGCAGTTTATTCATGCTCTGGTGAGAGTAGCCAACCCTGGGAACAACCTGAGTGTTCACCTACAAAGGCATGTTTGGTTAAATGATGCTATGCTTATCTTGTGGAATACAATGCAGTTGTTTTAAAATGAGGTACATGCATATATTTGAAAAAAATATATAAAATATGCAAAATATACACTGGTAAGAGCAAGTAGAATAAATAAGAGTGTGTGTTTGTGTGTGTGTGTGTGTCTGTGTGTAAATAAGCACAGAAGAGATTTTGCAAGGTTATACAACAAACTGTTAACATTGGTTATCACCAGAGGAAGAGAAGAGTGGGACCTGATTCATTTTTACTTTATATCTTTCTGAATTTAAAATTTTATTACGATGAGAAAATATCTCTTATAATTACACCCCAGAGCATTCTAAGCAACTCTGATGAAACTCACAGTTTATCATAGGGATACTATTGAAAAACTATCTACATGTCGTCTGTAGTCTCCTATATGAAATCCCACTCCAACCTCCTTCCCCAGTACCTGTTTGAGCAACAGTTTGCTTTTGTTTAGTAAAAGCAATATTGACATTGAGCATCTAGTTACTGCTCATGTCTTCCTTTGCTGTAGCAACTAAGGACCACAGAGTCACATTAGAGACTCCCCTTTATTCTACGTCATCCTGGTCATATGGCTTACATGCTGTACATGACCCATATTACTGGCATCATCTTCTTTCCCTCATACAAGTTCCTTTCTTTATTTTAGCTGGTTATGTCATATGTATATCCACCTCTGATCCTTTTTGGGAGATCAAGTAAGGATATGAATAAATATTGACTAGTAATTTCTATTTTAACAGGAACTTGGAAAGAAGAGTTTCAAAAATGATAAATAGGCCACCCATCACTACCAACTACAGATGACTCGCCATTTGGTTTACAAAGGTAAGGAAATATAGTCCTTGTTTTTAGTTAATTCTGACTGACACAGTATAGAGCCCTTACTCTGATAATTGTATATTTATTTACAAATATTCCAAAACATGTATCTAGTTCATGGCCTTTAACTTTGACATTATCACATTTAAAACAAACAGAAACTAGAAGTTTTACAAATGTTGGGATATCTGAAGGGAAAAAACTGAGGAGATGTGGTCTCTGCCATTAATTATGGTATGTGGTTAAATTTTTAATATTTTCCTTATATTTAAATGTAGTAATGTGAACTAAAACATATTTGAAGAATAAACAAGATCTAAAAATGAAAACCTAAAGAATGTATAATCCAGTCATTTGTAGATAATCACCAGAATGTCTTTCCTTCTTCTTTTATGTGTACATAGAAATATATGATATAATGTTTTTTAAAATGGTGTTTTTAATCCATACCTATCTTGGCTTCTTTAGTTGCAAAGGATAGCATCTTAAGTGATATGGAAACATAAAAAGTGTAGGAACAAATAGTAATCACCACTGTGACCATTTTAGCAGTCCTTAGCAGTTCACCAGCCAGCAACTCATTTGCCTCTTCTGCCCAGATGTCTCTGATTAATAGGTCCATGTGCCTTTTGTCAAATATCACTCTACAGAAGGAAGAACACAAAGCAAAAAAAGCTTTGAATCATGATACTTCATGGCCCTCCTTTATCATTATTGTCTTTTGTACACCTTAAAAGAAATTGATTTTTAAAAACAGAAGTTCCCACATTTCTCTCCTCTTCCCTCCTGTCAAGTCAGGGGTGATTTAAAAAGTAATAAAAAATACTTTTAAGACCATCACATCATCTGTCCTTCGCTCATGGCATTAAGTTGGTTTCTCATTGAGATGGTTTTCTCAAGCACCTTTCAGAGTTGCTCTTGAAGTGCTTCCTTTTCAGAAGTTGTAAAGCCCTAGAAGGGAATGACTCATGTGACATTCTTCAGTGAGATCTTCTATTAAACAGCTGAAGGTTTGGTTTTTTACCCTAAGCCTGGTATTATAAAGCCTCTCAGGTATTTAAATTTTCCTAATTTTATTTTTCAGAATTCACCAAAATATTGTTCTAAGAAAACTAGAAAAGTCACTTTTTCTTTAAACAAATAAAGCAGATGAATGGGAAGCAGGTATTTGTGAAACATTTGTTCTTGAAGATTCCCTATTCTAGTATGGGCAGATTGAATGGATGCAAATAGACATGAAAAGAAAGTCAGGGAGTGGTTTGGTGGCTGGATAGTAGTAAACCTGGTAAGGTAGCTTTCATTTTCCTGGATGGTTTTTGTCACATCATGCTCCTGGCAGCCAGGGTAAACTCAGTCATTTAGTTCCAGTGCCGGTGAATTCTTAGGTGTATCAAACACTGTTTATTAAAAGCCCCAGATTTAGAGCATGCTTCAAAGGCTTATAAGAAATTCAGAAGTTTTATGCCTCAGTGGTATTGTAAATGTTCTTCATTCAGTTTAAGATATGACCCTAAATATTGTGGTTCTCTAATTATGCAGTTGCCCTTGTTTATCACAGAAGTAACTCATTAAAAATACATGGGAGGTAAATATGAAAGTAACTAATATATGTTTGAACATGTGATATCTGTCAGTGAGAAAAAAGGATTCAAAAATATTAAGAAAAATCATAAAGGTGGTCAATTTTGAGTATGCAAAACTGTGTATCATAGTTATAAAACAAGTTAAAAGGCACTCGACAACATGGGAAAATATTAATAAGGTACTTGGCAATAGATTGTAACCTTAAAACATAAAAATCAACAGGAAACTCACTAATATTAATAACTATAATAGATTAAAAAAATCAGTAACTTACAGTACCAAGACTTCAATAGATAGAGGGACCAAAAGAAAAATGGAAAACTCAAAACAAGAAATGTAGGGTCAGGGATTTAGCTCAGTGGTGCTGCCTCCTGCCTCGCAAGCGCAAGGTCCTGAGTTCGGTCCCCAGTGCAAAAGAAAAGGAAGGAAGGAAGGGAAAGAAAAGAAGACAAAGAGCTAAAAATGTTAACCACTAGCTCTCTCTTTCTATCATCAAATGGGAAAATGCTTTTTGTATCAATGTTCATAAAAATAGTAAGGTGATACAGTATTATTTTATATAAAAATGCATAGAACAGAAAGTAGAAAAATGTGGTGAAATGAGTAGTAGAGTTGTTTAAGTAGAATTAAGAGTATTTTTTGCTCTGATTAATATATTTTGGTACTTTCCAGATATTTTTACTGTAAGCATTTATAACCAGAAGAAAAATTTTAAATAGCTTTGTAGAAAGAAATTTATATGCGTGATAGGGGTTTGGACTTTGATAGCATCTTTCTTAAAGCTAACAGACTTAAGTATACCACTAAAACTATTTAGAAGTAAAGATTTATTTTGGAAAGATTGAGCAGATTTTTTTTTTAGTGTTCTGAGAATTTCTTTTTTCTTTTCTTAGAATCAGCAGTACCAACAAAAACATTTTTAAAATACATTGTTTATTTAACAATATTAATAGTTTTATTTCAGAGTTCAGTTTAAATTCATATGGGAATATTTTTTCCCTTATAGATGTCGTCAGCTGCTGAAAATGGAGATGCAGCACCTGGAAAACAAAATGAAGAAAAAACCTATAAAAAGGTGAGTGTACTATTGTTTGGCATGTTGGTACTGTTAGAGGCTTTTCTTCTTCCAAAGCAGTTGTAAGTTAATGTCTTATTTTCCTGTTGCTTCCGTACCTAATTACCACACCTTGGTGGCTTGAATAACACAATGCATTATCTTATAGTTCTGCAGATAAAGATGACAGGGTTCTTATTTTTGTCTGCAGAGCTGCATTGCTTGCTGCTTCCCTTTTAGAGGGGCATCCATTTCTTTCTTGTTCCCAGCTTCTAGAGGCTACCTGCATTCCCCATGTCAAGACTTCCTTCTATTACAAAACCAGCAATGGTAGGTGTGGTCTTTCTTGGGTTATATCACCCTGACACTCTAAAGAATCCATTTACCCAGGGATGGTGGTGCTTGTAATCCAAGTACTCTGTGAGACTGAGGCAGGATGATTGCAAGTTCAAGCCCAGCCTGGGCAACTTAGCACCTTAGGGAGACCCTGTCTCAAAACTAAAAGTTAAGAAAAGGGGGAAATGGGTAGGATGTAGCTTAGTGAGAAGGCCCTGGGTTCAATCCCCCCTATTTTGAATGAATGAATGAATGAAGTCATCTGATTAGCAACCTTAATTTCCCCTCCAACCTTAACTCCTCATTGCCATATAACATAACCTATTCACAAGCCGCAGTGATTAGGGGATAGGTGTCTTTGGGGACCAGTTTTTTCCCTACCATATTTATCATGATATATACCACTAAAGTTTTCCTCAATAGAAGGGTAGTTATTTAAAGACCCTTCTTATTCCTAAGGAGAACGCTTTCAAGGGCGTGCAGTGCTCTCTCTGATATATGAATTCTTTAATTGACTCACTACTTTGCATCAACATTTTAAGCATTTTCTACCTTTGAATTTTACACAAATGTTAAGTGTGGAATGTTCCATCTCTCCCCATTTTCTAAGCTAGATTTCATGTCTTTAGACTATTTCACAAAAAGTACCTTGTAGGCTTCCCAATGCATCTTACCTGACCATTCTAAAGTTTATAAAGTCTTGACACCTAGCAAGCCAGCTAATGTTCAGAATCATTACTGGATAAACTGTGATCTCAAGCATCACTGCTCTTGATTATAAATTGACTGTACATTGTAGCTTTTAAAAGTTCTTGCCCTCTTGCCCTCTCAGTTCTCAATTGTTGAAAATTTATTGTATTTTAATTTCTCATTTTACTCTTACTTTTGTTGGATAGCTGGCAAGTTTTGTAGTAAAGTATTTGAACTATTTGGACCACATATTCAGGTCATACAACTAACAGATAAATTTCCTGTTCTGGCCTTATGTGGGAAAACTTGACCTTTTTATTGGCATATCTTTTTTATCTGACTTTCTTACTCATCCAAACCTAGATTCAACAGGGGGTTGTCATCCAAAGTGATGGTTTGCTTAACAAAAAGCTGGGTGAAGATATAAGAGCTACAAGTTGTCATGTTATATCTTATAAACTTTGTGCATCTGTCCAAAGGTGCCAATACACTATGTTCATTTTTAGACAGAGGTGAGAAACCATGTGTATCTTGTTTACCCAAAACTCTGTGGAAATTTAGTCAAGCATGAGGGCAACAGAGAGATAGCTAAATTGCTGGCCTGTCATTACTTCAGGTCACTTCTGGTCAGTCTTCTCATCAGCACCAAAGTGCATCAAGATTCCTGATGGAATTTGACCCATAGGAACTCTTTCATTATGCAGAGGTAGTAGAAAGAATGTTGGCTCCCAGTGCAGAGGTAGGGGCCTCCAAGCTGCCGTTCCACCACTCCCAGTACAGAAGAAGGGGCCTCTGGGCCTCTGTTCCACTTCTCCCAGCGCAGAGGAAGGGGCCTCTGGGCTGCCATACCACCACTCCCAGCACAGAGGTAGGGGCCTCCGGGCTGCAGCTCCATCACTCCAAGCACAGAGGAAGGGGCCTCCCAGCCAACATTCCACTGCTCCCAGCCCAGAGGAAGGGGCTACTGGGCCGCCATACCACCGCTCCCAGCACAGAGGAGGTGAGCCATACAGGTGCCAACAGCATCCTTCCCACCCACATCAAAATGAGAAGACACATAAATAATTCTCAAAACCAGACTTTCAGATCACCTACAGCAATCCCAAAGGGAAATGAGATGGAACACTCTAATACTCAATCACCTGGACTCCCTGAACTGGCAACAAAAGAGGATCTGGAAAAAATGAAATCAGAAATAATTTCTCAGATAACAGCAGA